CTAGCTCTTGAGCATTTTGCTTGCCAATGATGTCAGAAATAATGCTTACCTTTGTTAAAGGTACACTGTTCTCTAACATGTAAATCCCCTATCACAAGATTCTTACTGGAGAAAGCTATTCAATCACAGCAACAATCTGCTCATGTTTAAAAAAGGGAGCTGAAAGTTCAAAAATAGTTATAAGGTACGTCAAACACAGCCAATGCATTAATCAGCCACTTGCCTTACTCTCCTGAGGGCTGTGAAATATTCAGTTTTACTGCAGGAAAAAAGGAGACTAGCAGTACAATTTTTTCATCTGCCTATGCTTTCTGCCTGGGATTTAATCCTGCATATAGATACACAATATTATTCCCACCCAAGCTATCTGTTTTGCATCACAAAATGAACCATTCCCCATTTGAAGGGGCTGTCAGTTATCTGTGTTTTGTTAAGCATAAAGCAATACTTGCTATTCCAAATCCCACACTGCTGACAGTCACTTCTTAGGAATCTGAATAAAGTCACTTGAATTATTTAGAATAGTGAATAGAATACATTATTCCATTGTTCAATTTCAACAATTAAAATCAAGATAACAACATAATTTCAGTTAAGTACATGTCAATGTTTGACCCTGATTGAGATTGAGGTAGATTCAACTCGTGCTTCTTTGAGGAGTAAATCATGATATTCCAAGAAAACAGAGGTGAAAAACAGGATATTCTGATAATCATTTTAGGAACAAGGGCTGAGACACTCCAAGAAGATGGGACATGTATAAGCAAAATGTAAAACCTCGTTAAGGCAGAGTTTTATTGGTATGGACCTGCTGGAGGACACATCTCTTGGATAAAACTGACTATGAACACTAATAACTGCTGCTTACATAGCCTAGAACTAATGTGTTTCCAGAAAGCAATTCAGTTGGCTGATAGATATACTGGATTTTTTAATAAGGTGTTTACCTTTTTCATTCAGAATTTAGGAGGCACAAAATATTCCTGTATTCTTCTGCAGCACATTTTCTTGTTACATTTTTCATTTCCCCAAAAGCGTGGCCCGCTCACAGCACTATGGCTGCTCTATGTGTGCTCCTAGTAATCATTTATGAGGTGGGTTTTTTTCCTCAGGCCTTTGAATCTTATTCTTTAGAAACACAATATATTGTGTTTTTTCAGAGAAAAAAATTTCCTAGAGATATCTTCCCCACCATAAACATTAGATAGAATTAGTGGTTCAATATAAAGAGATTAAAGAAGCTGGAATAATGTCTATTCCAGCCCAGAGATGCAGAGTAACAAAGGCTAAAGAGAAAACATGGTATTAAGAAAATGAAGCTTTAAAGCCTCTCCATCAGAAATCAAGTTTATGTTTAAAAGTAACGATACTGCGAACAAGAAGGCTGCCTACAACCTGTGGTTTAGGAAACTGTCAATACTTGAGACACATTTATCTTTAAAACACTTTTTTTTTTTGTAAAAGCAAGAAGCAGTTTTGTTTAATGTGTTATCATCAAAGATGAGGAAAATGTAAATAGAGAATACAGATTTCAAAATCAAACATGGCACCTGAAGTCAAATTTGATAAGGAACTTCTCACTAATGGTTTTGACATATTCAGAGGATTACACTGATCTATCTGAAGCTTGCTGAAGCCACTTCTATGAAGTAACTTAACTTACAATTGTCCCAAAGCTATTTGGATAACGCCATATTTGGATGGCGTTACAGCAAAGATCTACCAAACTATCCAAAAGTTGTCAGATTTTGTCATAAATTCACCCATTGGACCATCATCTTAAAACACATTTTGAAAGCACCTCTAAAAGAACTGTATTCAGTCATGTCAGTAACTATGCTCAGTAACAATTACTGGGGTAGCAACGACGTTACTCAGGGGATAGTAGGAGTCCTGGAATGAAATGAAATTCCAGAAAAACAGAGGAAGCAAGCCAGCTCTGTTCTCCAAGCCACCTTTCCTAACACACCCATAAATAACGAACCTTCACAAACATAAGCAACATCTTGTCACAGAGAAACACTACAATGTTTATACAATTTTTCCACAGAGAAAACATGACAGAACAAACTATTTGTAACAGATTAGTCACATTACTAAATTATCTCAGGGAGAACACTCTAAGCCACTGGTAGAACTGGAAGGAACAGTCCAGGTTTAATACTTATGTAACAAAACAGGATCTCATTATTTTTACAGCATAATTTTCCTGAATGAAAAAAAAATTGTTTTAGAAAAAAAATAATGAATACAGAGGATTTATAGAGAATGTAAGTAAAAACAGCACAATGACAGCCAAGACAAGTAGATCTTTACCACCAGGGAGTTGAGGAGGAAGCTGAGTGGCAATGAATACCAAATTTCCCTAACTTACCTCAGTTACAGAGTTAAAAATAAACTCTACCAGTCCAGAAGACTGCAGTGTGTCCTGTGTTATTAGTTTTTGTACACAAGTGTGACAGTTTGGAGACTATGCCAATGTCAACTCCTCAATTCCACAATTTCATTTGACTTGGAAAATAATCTTTACTATGGACTGAAGCATTCATTCTCCAATTCTAGCTTGACACTTAGAGAAAGACAATGTCTGGAAAACTCTGACAGAGAGGTCAGTGCCCACAGTTACTGAATGGCTTAACCCCAGGAAAAGAATGGATTTACTACCAGGAAAGCCATTAGTTTTTCAGTGAGTTTCTTCTTGTTGAAGTAAAGAGTCTGAGACTCCTGCTGCATATGCAGTAATACAAAAATTGCAGTTTCTCTCCCTGCCATTCCAAACCAAATGTCAAGACACAGTTTTAAAGATAATTCCTTTTGAGCTAAGGAGTTTGTTTTGCCTCTAAAAGCAAAAGCCCAGCAAAAAGAAATGTGGAGAGACCAGACTCAAAAAGTAGCTTTTGGGCCACCTGCAGCTCTCTTGAGAGGGCAAAGTGCTCAGCATGGGCCAGGATATTACAACCAAGCAGGCAGGTGTGGCCACTGAAGGATCTATTGCTGCTGCAAGGAAACCCAGAGTGCCAGCAGCCATGTGCCAAAGCCAAGAAAGGGACAGCAGACAGGAAAAGGTGCTCTGACCTTGCACAGAACTTTCCAGACTGGGAGCGGTGACTGGCTGCACATGCTCCAGTTGTTGTCCAGACAGCAGCATGGCTGCTCTTGTAAAAGACATTCTTACAGTTAGATTTTGGAAGAAATACCTTATGAGGCACTTGCAGGAGGAAGAAGTTGTCTGAAACTCATTTTGACTTGAGCTTTCAACATCTCTCTATGAGTATCTGATTTCAAGCAAAATCAACATTCCCCTTAATTTTCTCCGTTCTCCTCAATGCACACCATGTCCCTCTTGGTGTCTCCTACGGAGATGGGAGTTGCAAAAACAATTTGGTTTCGTTGAATTGGTTAGCCAAAGCAGGAGGTGCTGTTTAGCATTTTAGCATGCTCTTGCTTTCTTCTTCTTTTCAGCTGAGGTTAAAAATGATATGCTTACACTCTTATGCCCTAGATGTATTTCAAACCCTCATTTGAAAAGATATGCAAATCAAGCTTCAGCGTCTGGAATGGCCAGTCCAAGAGTTCTATTTTATCAATTTCTAAAGTCAATGCTCTATGCTTTCCCACGTATTAAGTAAATCTTTCTATATATCCCTTATAAAAATTTAAGCTCATGTTCTCTAAAGTACAAGTGCTAAGAAAAGAGGGGACACCTACAGGATAAAAAATTATTAGAGCTATAAGAGCTTAAGCAATCCTTGTTCCCTCTTGGCTTTTTCAATTATGTCAGGTTTGGGAGGAAGGGATTCAACCATTCCTCCAGCAGTCCATTCTGCATCTAAAGCAGACACAGCAAGTCATCAATAACAAGAGGAAGAGATTTTATATCTACAAAACATATGCTGATAGACTTGGAAAACAACTATTTTTACTTAATATTTAACCTCCTATGCAATCATGCACTGCTTACAAAAAAATATCCCAACCTTATTATCAGGGATGTACAAACACAAAAAGGCTGATCAAGTCCATGGCACAGCCCTGGCTTGGATGTTTATTGTAAAAATTACAGCAATAATTATAAAAAATACATATCTAATAACCACGTTTTCCCCTTACCCTAATTTATGAAGTGCAGTTTCCCAGGCAACAGACTAGTCCAGGGAGTCTGTAGACCTCTGAATTTTTTTCATTCAAAATATGAACTATTGTTAACTGAATCTATGTCAGCTTAACAGAGGTTTGCTTTTCTTAGCCACCTGGTGTGCACTGCTCACAAGTAATCTCTATATATGCTGCAATGGACACTTTATGTGTTCAAACCCAGTATAATAAATTGATTGTCCAAGGCACTAGAAGACATTTTCTGGTTAAAAAAAGGTATAAAAATGGTTGCACCCAGGTTTGTGATCCCCCCATCACTCCCTCTTTCCCCACTGCTTTCCTAAGCACACACAGAAAAGAACTTTCACAAACCCCAGATTTGGCATCAGTTTTTGGACCAAATTGTGTAATATCTTCTGTCCCACAATGTCAAAACCAACCCATTATACTAGTAAAAGAAAAGCAGTTAACAAAATGGGTATTTCTGCATTCAGAACCTCTTTGCCTATCCCTAAACATCAAAAATATGCTGAAGAAGCACACTTAATTAAGAACAGGATATGTCCAAAAGGAAAACATAGCAATTCTGTTAATTGTTCCATCATTCCTGTAAAACATACCTGAGGACAAAGCAGTCTGTGACCTGTAAACATATGCACAAATGTGTCTCTACTTCCAAGCTGTCCTTTGTGGAGAGTCTGAGATGATAAACTAGGTCTACAGTGAGAAGTTTCACTGCTATATGCCTGTTCCTCAGCTGAGCTAAATGTGCATCATAAAGTAAGAAGCTATGTAAGAGCCAGTTATGTGTTCCTATTTTGGGATTTTTTTTTTTAACTCACTCAGAACTTATGCAAACTATGACACTTAAAGCCTAATGCATGTCATAATCTGTTTTTTCTTACATTGGTCATGTATCTTCTTCACAGTCTTGCCAACGATGCAGCACAAGAATCAGCATGTCAGGGACTCCTCAGAGCAGTGAAATTCCCATTTGGCTCCGTAGGCTGCTGTCTGTCTCCATGCACTACACAGATGGAAGACAAGTTCACAAATTGAAGACAACTTACCAAGATCTAAGAGTTTAACCAAACACTAAACATGGATTTCTCTTACAGATCAGTCACGCATGCAGCCACTGACATCTCTATGGAAAACTGTCAGATATATTGCCTATTTAAAAATAGTGATTTACAATAAAACAGAAATCCAGGAAAAGACAATATTAAACAGTGGGAGTTTTTTTCTGATTTGTTCTGTTTGCTATAATAAAAATAAGGCAATTTATTTTTACTGTAATTTTATTTTTCTCCAGATCATTAAAAATATAGGATAAAGTCTAATACCTGGGGTTATATTTGCATTCACCATCACCATCCCAGTGTAAAACATTTAAATCTGACCTGAAAATATATTAAGATTCCTGGACTTAAAATACTCTGCGGAAACCCGTTGTGCATTTCAAGACAAGACTGTATGATTTCACTGGGAGTAAGTTAGAGCACTACAAATTTAATTTTTTTACTTAACACCTCTGACCAACATTTAGCTCTTGTTCTATTTGTTTCCTAGCGATACAAGAATAAGAGAATGAAAATTTTCCCATCTTACCATCTTCCCCTCAAAGTCAATAACTTGATGTCTATACTGCAGAGGCCTTGTCTAGAAAACAGGTTTCATAGGGGCACTGTCACTTCTTAGAAGTTGATGCTCAACCTAACTGAAAAGCCCCTGTGAGAGAGGTTTTTAAGCAAGGTAACAGCATAATTTTTTATTTATAGAAAGAGACCAGTAATAAAGTACTTCCCTCACTCCTTTTACACTAAGCAATTGATTTTCCCCATTGTAATAGACACCTAAAAGTAATGGTTGCCAAAGGGTTAAAGGTACAAGAGCAATTAACTGTTCAAATCAAGTGTTAGCACACCAAAATGGAAAGAGTTCAAACTTCTGCTGTGCATCCTTTGTTTCTACTGCTACAGAGTTCCAGCTTTCCCACTTCTTCTGTTTTCTCACTTTCAGATTTTCACTGCTGAGAATTATAGAAGAGAATATGTTTTCCAACAGCCATTTTAATTTTAGGAATGTCTAACTTGGTAACTGAATTTTAAACTCAAATTATGATATGAATTCAACTTTATTGTCAAGAGGCATTTCACAAAAGAGAAAACACAAAAGGATTTGTGGATGAGCTCTTAATTCTGATAATGACTTCTTCTGGATTACCAGGTAGCCCAGGAGTATAAAGCAATGTTGAAGTGAAAGGGGAGGTAATTCTACCTTCAAGAGTGTAAATGCATATAATATATAATAACTCTCTACAAAAGTAGGATATGCTGACAAATACTAACCTTGGAGAAAAGGGCATAAAAGATGTGCAAAAGCAAAGCTTTTGGGAACTAATACAGGGATGGCAAGAGGCAATCTTGGAAGGCCACTGGGGTTAAAGAGCTAATTACAAAGAATGTCAATCAAAAAACAGTTTATGCAGTCAGAAGATCTCAGTGGCCATAGTCTACTGATCTGGGAATTGGAGGAAATGAATCAATGGGAAGCATGAAGCAAATCCATGATATGAGCTGCTTAACTGCCAAGTGTACAAAAGCTCTTAATAGCCACAAAATTCAAAATTTAGCATTTCTCTTTCCTTCCTATTAGCTGGGGTCACAAGAAGGAGTCTGTGGCCCTCAGCCTTCCTCCAAGGAGGAAGTTAACAGCCTCATTAATTATGATGGGCACTTTTTAAGTGCTGTTGAGATCAGTGTAACTTTCTGCAGGGTGTGAGATCATGCTAACAGTGGCCACCTCGCTGTGACACTGAGCTGTTAATGCACTACTCCTGTTTCAGTATGTTAACGCCCCGTGAACAAATGCTAACGTAGCAAATGCCATCATGATTGCTCAGTGCACTCAGAGCAACTTCTCAGGCACCCATGCCCTGGGAATTTGGCAGGCAGGGAGGCAATCTGGTGTTTATACTTCATGGCACATGTATGAAACACTTCTCCACTGATGATGAAGCTAGCAAAGAAGGTCCCAGCTGTTAACCAAACAAGTATCAGCTGTCATATTCATCAACCCCCGGAATGTGTCTGCACCTCCTTGGTGGAACATCCTTGTGCACCTTCCCCAGGTGGCCCCAAACCACAGCAGCCTCTCTGAGACATGACTTCATAACTGCACGCTTTGTCCCCTCATTCTGTAAAGCAGCTGACCACTCTTCTTCAGGGAAATAATGCTGATGGAAAAAGGTAGAGGAACCACAGAAAATGGTTTCATGATTTCAAGATGAATACAAATACAAAAGCCAGTGCAGCAGGGATGGTCCTGACCTCACCACCACAGCTCTACAATCTGTCAGCCCAAAACTGCTCCTGCTTCCCATCCACTCAGCACAGACCTGGTGGTGTCTGCTTTCATTGCCTCACTCCCTTCAGCAGTATAATGATACAAATTGTATGTAGAATTACCATATCTGACTGTGAGAAATAAAGGTTTTCATCCATAAATAATGAAGACTTTTCTTCTTACTGATTCAAGTTTCTGTTTAATTCTTCTGATTTAAGAAAGAAAACTAATTTTACAAATTCCTTTGAAAATTCTCTGAACTGTATATTAGTAGTCGCAATTTCAATTTAAGGTGTCCTAAAAAAATACTGATTGAGCTATTGGGGTCCTAAATGTATCTCTGAAAGCTATCAGAATGGCAAGTATACAGAATATTTCTGATTAAAACCAGAATATTAGAACACTAGGAATTACTTGCCATATAATGACAAGTAGCTATGGAGCCCTCTGCAGTTGTACAAGACATGAACAATTTAGTTTCTGCCTCCAACTGTCAGTTAAATTTCTAATATATTGACCAACCTTAAGCAAAAATATTAAAACAGGGTTACTGAGACAGAGCCCAATGTTAAGGCAAGGTGTATAAGGCCATAGGAGAGACAGAAGAATAATAGAGCAGAGAACTGAACTTGGCTCTTCCATGTCCTAAGAATTAGATGTAGTCATGCAGCAGAGGTCTGTGAAGAACTGTAGTTCCAAGCCAGTAAATGAGATACCTCCACTATGGTAATGTGAATCAAACTCCTACATCTTTCCAAATAAGTGCACTGCTGGGACATAATACAGGTTCATTTCCTCCATTTTTTTTAATGGTGGCAGATAGGAAAGGTTAAATTTCAATTTCACAGCAAGGCAGAGAGAAAGAATTTTTTTACCTTGAAGATTTCTAATAAGAAAAATGTTTCATCCATTTTCAATAATCAGCATTGCTGAAGCTAATTCACAATAAGGAACTAGAAGTTGCTAACGTTTCTAAGGCCACTTGGCTTTCTTCACACAAACAAGTATCCAGAAATACAGGGTAATCTGAATTTTGAATTTGCAGTTCACTTACTCTCAGTTGGTTATGTTGTTCATACAACATAACCACACTGATGATGCATTGTGCTGCTCTAAGCTGGCATATTATCAGGTAAACTGAGAGGCACCTTCACTCTTCTTCAGATTCCTTTTGCCCCTCCAAACATTGTCTCTGCTCCCCTGCCTCCCTAGTCTTTGTCTTACCCTTCCAAAACGTTCACTTTTTGGGGAGTTTGCAAAGCAAAAATAATGAGCTATATCCTGCTAGGAGTCTTGGTGTCCCAGCCCTGACAGCCGCTCCTGGCTCTGCTCACTCCCGCTCTCCCTGCTGCTCCTGAGATCCAGTGAGTCATTGCTGGGAAACACAGCCTCTTCCTCTAGCACCAGCTGCTCCCAAACTCAACAACAAACTGGAAATAACATTATCTCTCTTTCATAGGATAGAACAGTATCTTCTGGTCAGCCCCACCAGCTTGTTTGGGTTTTTTTCCTCCCATTTTTCTTAAGGCTTGAACTGTGTCATTCCCTCTCCCTCACCCTTGAAAACTGAAAAATACAATTAAACCTCATTGTCAACTACCAGCAAGAAAAAGATCACTTTTAAAGTTTCAACATGCAAATTTTATAGTTGGAGTAAACAGAAACAAAGAATCCCAACAACCTCATCACTTTCTCCTAAATATTTTCATGGATTTCATATTTTCTACAGATCTTCAAAATTTATGTTCTCCATGTTATGGTAGAAATAATTGCCTCTCCACTGACAACTTGTCAGGTTTCAGGATGATACAATATGAGAAGACAGAGATATAATCTTCCAGATTTATAGCAGAAATACTCCTCACAGACCCTTAACTAGTGCAGTGGTATCAAGTGCCACTGCAATACGCAATGATAGTAAAAGTTATTTTATCTGAGGTTATATCTCAGAACTGAAATAATTACTAGGTTTAAATAAAAACCTTAAGGCGTCTCAACCAAATTTTTTCATACTTGTTAAAGAAATAGAAAGACAACACCTTCTGTTTGGGAAATGCCCATCCCATTGTTGCCAGATTATAGTAGAATATTGAGAACAAATATGTATGTCTCATCTTTCGTTTTTTCTTAAGTGCCTGGTCCTGATCTCTGCTAGAGAGAGAGATTTGTTCTGAAAAAGCATTGTCTCAAGAAAGTTGGAACACATTTCTAGAAGTTTCCAGCCCCAGTGCTGACTAAACACAAGTCCAAACACTTCTAAGGATGAAGAAATACACAACTGAAATATACTCTGTTAGTGCTGTACACCCTCCTCACAAAGAAGCCTTTTTCTAATGAAAAGATTTGCACTTATGCTGATCACCTCCCTGATTTTCTTCATGCTTAGCCCAAGCCAGGCTCCTGTTGCTGGATCAGCATAAGCAACAAGTGGAGCCTACACGCTGCCTGTACTGAAAGCACGGTACACTCATGTTCTGCAACTCTCAGCCTGCAGGAAATCCATCACTTGGCTCTGGCAGGCGGCAGGTGCTTACAGAATCCTGCCCTTTGGCTTCTCTGCCAGGAGCAGTCAATGCAGCCCAGACTGAGCTTTGGGGGCTGCATGGTTCCAGCTTGAGCTGCAGCCCAGCACACACACACACACGGTGGTGACAGAGGGAAACAGCCTTACCTTTCCAATCAAGCCGCACCTGCTAGGGCTTATCCTCAACAGTAAAATGAATCTCCCATAACTCTAGAGCTGCAGCAGGATATAAAAACGGTTTCTGTCACATAACACACTTAGTGTTGGGTTTATGTGCAAGTGAGCCAAGAATGGGGTAACTCACAGGCTTATAGTTGAACACTGTATGAATGCAAGCACTTCTGGACCAGCTCCCAAGTGCCTCCTTCATTATCTCCATATCTCAAAATTATGATTTCCAATTCAGACTACTCAGTTTCCCCATGCTATTGTACTTCCTGCTATGCCAAATAGAACCTTTTCATATTAATTTTAGCAGATGCCTTAATTTATCCTTTATACTATATTTTATTAATGCCTATTGCACTGGCATCTAGGCAGATGGCCAACTTCAAAACCAAAGTTTTATGGAGGAATTACAAGAATAGTCAGGCAAATGGGTTCTTCACAGCTGGGAAGCTGTTACAGTATGGTATATTTATAGTATATAAAAGATACTTGTGAACAGAACAGATGGTAACTTAAGAAATTACCTGAATTTGGATTTTGTCCTGAATTTCAGTAGGTCCTTGTGAGCTTGACATTCAGCAGTTTTATTCTTTCCATCTCTTTACTTTCTCTTGTAATATCACACACTCAGATTTTCTGAAAAAGTATACTTTCATAAATTTTAAAAAAAAATCTTTCAGAAAGGTTAAGCAATAACTTGAAACTGTTAAGGAATCCAGCGGGTCAGCAGATTTCTTACGGTCAAAGTTATGAACAGCTGCAGTGTCTCCCACAGATGTGACAGAACACTTTATAAACACATGGCTACCTAAGTACACAAGTGTGAAAAACATATCAGCTCATCACCTCCATGTTTGTTTCATAAGCTATTTGGAAGTATACTCTTAATTTTTGAAGTCTAGCTGAGGAACTTTGGAAAATGAGAGAAGCTTTTAGAGCAGTTTCTGTGCCAACTGTACCCGAGATACAGTTTTACCCTTCCTCGCTGAGGTGATTAAGAGGTTACTACAGGAACTGAAAGACTTTTTGGATGCACATCATGCTATTTAGACACAGATAGTATTTACAAGTTCCTTACAGAAAATTATGTACTTTACACTTGCAACATCTAAGTTTATCAGCTGAATTCAAAGGACAGATTTCCAATTTCCAAATGACCCAAAAGAGCCTCACTTCCAGTTGATTTACAAGTAAAAGAATGTTGGTATTTAAACATCAAGTTCTGCTTCACAACAATAAATCTATGGCCTGGTAACCATTAACTGGAGTGCTCTGTGCTGCAAGGTCTTTCTTGGCACAGCCACCCTTGCAGATTGATAGGTTACCTGTAGCAGCACTTTCTGTATTGCAGAACACAACATATACAGTCCTAAGTTCAAAATTAACTTTAAACCAAAAAAAAAGGTTAAATGTTTTAATAAAAATTATCTTGTTTACACAGAAAATTTTAAGTCTATCATCTCTGGTCAATTCAGTAGTTAAAGGTCACTGCTCAATATCCTAAGTGATTCTTCGGCTTTTACACAAGCCTAAATAGAGATCAGAGTATCATATATTGCATGACATTTATTTGATCTGTTTTGTGTATAGTCACAATAATTTGTATTAATAAACTAAAACAGTCATCATAAATTCTCTCCAGAGGGACCTGGGAGCCTTTTCTGTGGAGCCACAGAATCTGAATAAATTAAGAAAATAGACTGTTATTTATTTCTCGATTCTCAGATGGCTACGCATCCAGCAGGCTTCTAACAGGACAGCTCTGAACTCTTCTAATTCAGCTCTTGCTTGTTTGGATCAACAACACATATGCTCAGCTTGTTGCATACCTCAATCAACTAATCTTCACAAGGAAGCTACTATCCAGATAATTGATACAAAACTAGTTTTCACTAGGCCTGTTTTGGGGGTTGTTTGGTCATAGAATCCAATCATGTATTAGGATTTAAAGAAAAAACTATTAGTTTTTTGTCACATAATTACTTGAATGTACTTTTCCACGCACAAGGAAGCTACTACCCAGAAAACTGATACAAAATTAGCTTTCACTAGGCCTGTTCTGGGGGTTGTTTGGTCATAAAATCCAATCTTATATTAGGGTTTAAGGAAAAAAACTATTAGTTTTTTGTCACATAATTACTTGAATGTACTTTTCCACAATGACAAATAATGTTTTTCTTGTACTGGGGAGCCGGGTCTGGGTTGTATGCCACAAACAGCAAGTTCTCCTTGAGACATCTACCTCTTCCCAAAACTTTACAAGGAGCCTATGGAGCCTTGTCTTCATAGTCTCTCAAAGTAACACATTTACCTTCCAGTTAAATATGCATTCTATAAGAGTTGACTATACTGCACTGAACTGAATATTAAGTATAACTGAATAAATAACTGAATGTTAAAGCAGTTGAATGCTTTTTCATTCCCGGAAAGTTTTCTTGACATTTATATATGTTAGACTTATGGATCCTTCTGGAAACACCTTGTTTGCTGCTAAGGTAGCTAGTAAGTGTAAGCAGTCAAATCTGGTTTAAATATGCAGCAGTCGAAATATAGGGTTTCATCATGAAACATCTCATATATGTTAACATGAGCAAGAATGCAAAGCAAACAAAGACAATGTATGTTTAAGTTTAGCGTTATTTAAATTCTAAATTAATTTCAGATTTTTCCTTTATATCAAAAATTAGCCTTCTAAACTCTAAAGTTTTTAGAATTAACCTATTCTATTTTATAGAACAGGAAATTGCTATCTGGAAAAAACTGTGAAACCATCTCAATCCTTCTGCTTCCCTGGTTTGCTTATTGAGGCTGGCTTTGGTTCTCTGGGGTTCTTTTAGCATTCATGGAAAACAAATTCTACTTAGCACTAATGACAATTTTTAAAAAAGAAAAAAATCCACCCAACAAACAAACCAACGTGAGAGGGAAAGAAAAATAAAAGGCAATTAAAAAAAACCCAAACAAACAAACAAACAAAACCCAGTGAAAGGGAAAAAAAAAAGAAAAAACAAAAAAAAAAAACCCAGAAACCAAAACAAAAGAAACCAACAACAAACTCTACATCTCTTATTTCCACTGAAATCACTTCGGTCCAAATTCAACAAAGGACTGAAGGACTTGAAAGGCAATTGCTTCAGGGCTTGTGAAACTAAAACAAAAGAAACCAACAACTCTACATCTCTTATTTCTACTGAAATCACTTAGGTCCAAATTCAACAAAGGACTGAAGGACTTGAAAGGCAATTGCTTCAGGGCTTGTCTTTTCAATGCCTGGAGATGATGTCAGGCAGCAGGTCCCAGGATGGGCTGTGCAATGCTGTGCAGAGCAGGAGCAGAGCAGGAGTCTCACACGGGGTTTGCAGCAGCCAGGCTGTGGAAGGGAGCTGTCCAAAACGAAGCACACATCACTGGGAAACAGCACTGCTCTTTCACCCCTGCAGCTGATCTACTCAGGACCAGAACAATAGCAACGAGCTTCTCTTCCAGACTTTGGAGCAGTGAAAGAGCTGGGGTTTTGCCTGTGACAGCATCTCTGCCTCGGCCAGCACCCTGCATCCCAGCCGTGCCTCGGAGCAGACGGAGCCGAGCAGGGATGCAGGGACAGGCTGGGGACCAGCCTGGAGGGGCTGTGGCTCGGCCACCACAGTGAGCACTGCAGCCTCCTCTGGCACTGCAGCCCCCCGGAGCTCAGTGTAGGCTGCAGCTCAGCCTGCAAGCCCCGTCAGGACAGGGCTGCCCTGGGCTACAGACACCATGAACCATGGCTCAGCCAGGAGAGCTCGGGGAAGTGCAGGGGTTGTAGAACAGGGAGCAGCTAGAGACTGAACTCAAAGTGAGAATCCTGAAAACCCTTCCGCAGCTACTCCCTTATCTCCAAGTTCAGTTCAAAGATTGGTGGCTCAACTCTTTTCTAACACAGGTCCCCAAGTCCAGAGTCTGACTGCCTTTTCTCACCTTGGCAATATTTTTTACGAGGGGAGTACACTAATATTTAGGCTCTCTGCAGTAGAATATATTGCTCAAAGTGAGCAATAGTGGCAGAATCTATTCCAGGGGAAGGGGAAAAAAAAAAAAAGGAGCAATTGCAAACACTGTGGAAAACTTAACGTGGACATTTTTTAGCATCAGAAAATTCTGGAGGCTTCCAAATAAACTCATAATTCAGAAGCATTTGAGAGACAGAAATGCATCAATAATAGATTTTTAGTAGGTTATATCCTTGAAAGAAGGTAGATGGTAGAGCAGACAAAATAAAGTTGTTGGTGGCCTAATACATTGCAAGTGGTTTGTCACCTACAAGACTGCATTCTTTAAAGATATCTAACACACACATACAAAAAAAAATATCTCAAGTGAATTTATTGACCAAAACCAGTTCCACAGAACCAATTAGTATCTTACACAGGCTGCCCTGCAAGGCTTATGAGGCCATCCATCACTTGTCCATTTAACTATTTAGCATTTGTTCCAGCAATTTGTCACACTGTCAGAACGGTAGCATTTCAGAATAGGAGTTTTGGTTGAAAGAAATCTAACTCAGATAGTGCAGATATTTCTTTTCTAATAAGACTTACACAAGATTTATGTTTCTATTATTTTTAACCTTAAGCATCTTGTCTGGAAGGTGAGGTTAATTATTTGTATTTCAAAGTTTCCACATTTAAAGCAATTGTGTTAGATGAGAATTTAAAAATATTATGCAAAATAGAATTACTTCAAACTTCATCAACAATTCACAGTTCTGACATCAGGGAGTGCGTTATCTTACAGCTGCAGTGCTTACATTTTTATCACTTTTGCCATCTAGTCTTGTGCTTTTGTGTTTATTTTTGGTGACTTTCTTACTTTCACTGTGCCAAAAGAATCACAAAAAAATTACCTTTTCCTTGAATGAGAGGCAAAGTTTCAACACAACATTAGCATGTCTACTCACAAGGCATTTTGGATTTTTCAAGGGAAAGAAAAAGGATTGCTGAGGTGTTTCAATTACTCACCTCCAGATATTTATAAATATAAATTTAAATGAATGCATAAAAACTAAAATGCAAAAGAAATATTTCAAGCTCTGCTATCTCTAAAAGAATATTTGATGTCTGTAACGCAGGTACTGGCAACTGTTTCAAAAGACTGGCACTTGCTTTTAAACATATCCAGAACATTTTACCTGAACAACATGTAGGAATTAGACTACATGAAATGGAAGCAGCTACAATGAGTATGTCAGGCAACCTGTTAACACCTTGTCAGAGAACTCTCATGGTTCTACCACGCATGGTGGTGTTTCCACACACCTGCAATTCTACCACTTCACAGACTCCACCAAAATAAACAGGAGCTATTCCAAAATAACATTTAGATTTGTTTATTGTTTCAGAAGCCGGACTCTGCTTTTTAATGGCATGAGCTCACAGATCAGAGGTCTGCTTTCCTGATACCCTGTAGAGTTTCCTGATTTAGATTTCTTATAAAGCGGCTGCAGCAAAGAAGCCTGGGAATCAAATGCCATCTCTGCATCTGAATGCTGTTAAGTAGCTCCCATGGCATTTCTCCCCGACTCTCAGTGTGTGTCTGTCACTAAGCTCACTCCCAGAGATAAAACAGCAAATGTGAACTCCTGCGGGAAAGCACGTCAAGTAAAAACCTTTCTTGAAGCCTTGAGAATGCTCCAGCTCAGTCAATCTTCAGGCCTTCAATCAGCACACCCATCTTACCTTGTATACAGAAGGTTTTACAGTGTACCAGCATTCAGTAGGGATAACCAAATGTTTAATAAATAAAGAGAAAAGTGAGTATCTCTGTGTAAAAGGCTTAGCAAATAGATAAAACAGCAACTAGATAATACAGATTAGTCCTGCTCAAACACCCCAAAACAGCTCTGCTTTGCTGAGTAATCTCAGTGTTAAGAATGCTTGACAGATTTGAGTATATATTTTATTTGTCTCTACTTATTTCTGTCTATAATTAATTGCACCAGTCAATTATCTTGGTACCTGTTAAATATCACTGTTGTATTAGTCTGCCTGTAGAGGATGCATCTACCTTAGATGTAGGTTACTTTGTCCTCAAAATAAATAGTATTTCCAGTTACACTCAGAATAGCACAGCAATTCTTGCAATAGTGGAGAGGCAAAGTGGGAGAAGGAAAGAATCTGCAGAACAGACCATCAGTTCACAAGAGCCAAGAGCTGGTTCCAGGCAGTTAAAAGACAGGAAGGTGCTCACACCCATAGCAGTGCTGAGCCCAGCAAGCAAGAATGCCCAGCTGCAGGTCTTGGGGCTCTGGGAACCTGTTTACTTCTCTTTGGAAGAGGGTTTACTTGTTTGCTCTCTTAAATATGTGTCCAACATTAAAAAACCAGAATATACAAGGAAAATTATTCCAGCTGCAATGAGTGACATGGGAAAAAAACCCAAGCACAAACAAACAAACCAACTCCTGAATACAAGTTTACTGTGTTAAACACAAGCCTGAGGGGAAAACTGCCCACAACCAGCAAACTGTCAGTTCATCTAACCTGTCTTTAGGGAGATCTTGAAAACCTACCAGTAACAGGACAGACAAAGAAAGCCAACAGTAAATATCATGGACTAAGCGACAGTAGCCAGTCCTGCCAGAAACCTGAGGAAATAAAAACTAAACCAGAAGAAAGGATATTCTGATATTTACATACTGCACTCCCCTCTACTCCTACTCCTCCTGTAAAAAAAAAAAATAATTTGAAAAGCCAAAAAAGTCCTCTGCAGCTTCTGATTTTCTTTTCATTCCCTTTCATAAAGGAAGTTCCAGGTCAGCTCCCAGAAGCTGCAGAAAAGCTTTTGGGGGTTTAATAATCCAGAGTTAATAGCCATTCATTTGGCAGGTTTGGTATAGAAGGCGGGGCAGAATTAATTTCTTGCTTAACCAAGGCTGAAATTCACATTTAAAGTGTAAAAAGATATAGCTGTTACTGAAGTCTCATTCAGCAAGAGACATTCAGAGTGAGATGATCGCAGCAAGAACTTGTACTGAATATAAAAATCATCTGGGAACAGGTACAAAACAGTCTCAAACAAAAAGATGAAGGTTGAAATAGAAAAATAAGAAATAACCCAAATTCATCACGAAGGGCCAAACCAGCCTCTGCCTGCCAGTGTGTAGCTGCTGTCAATGACACAAGAACTGACCTCTAAACCATGGCTACTCCATCAGCTGGCACTCTGGGCAGTTCAGTGCAGAACTGATTGGAACCACATAATCAGTTCAAAAAGGTTTCACAATGGCCCTAAATGTGGTGGCTATCAGAAAGGGGGATCACAGGTATAAAAGATCAATTACTATTTAAGTAACATTCAGTGAGATACATTGATACTTCCATAGAGATGGGAAGAGGAAAGTAAGTCTGAAAAAGCAGAATTTCAAAAGGAGTACAGCAGCACTTTCCATTATAAACCTTTACAGAGAAAGAAAATGCATGAAATGAAATAAACGCTCATCTGTAAATAATCACATTAAGCATTAAAATTTCCTGAAAACAGAATCTGGAACTAGAAAAGCTTATATAAACAAAGAAAACAAAACTATTGGACACAAGATACCTTGTTCTAGGATGCTCTTTCACATTTTCTTCTTACTGTTCCATCTACCTCTTTCAATCTGGTTTTCTTGTCCCAGTGGTAAATTTTTAAGGCTCCTAGGAGGAAGAGGACAGTTTTTTTTTCACTGTGTGTATCATGTCAAATGTAAAAAAAGACAAGTGTCCAAAATAGACACATTGATTAGACACCACCATTTAGAAAATGCAATTTTAGAAGGTATCAGGTACACTATATAGACATGCTGCTTTGAGTTTCAAATTCTCTAGGTATTTTATCTAATATTTATTTGGATTAAATATTTTACCCCGCTTCATATTCTTGGAGTGCACTTGCTACCAAGTTAGGCATGTATAAATAGCTTTTTTGTAGATTCAGGGAATTATTTGTATCTTCACACCTTTATTTCAGGTATGGAAAAGTAGAAAATCTGATTCTGAAGCCAACAGTGGTGTATTTACATTCATATTTCACGTAAACAGCTCCAAAAGCTTGGGTTCAGAGGATGTCTAGAAAGGAGCAAATGCAAGAGAAATGCTCCTTGTTGCAAGCATCAAGAACTTAAGAATGTTCTGCTACACCACGGAGAGGAGGAGAGAAGCTCTGATGAAGGAAATGCCAGGGGCTATGTCACCAGACTTCTGTTTTCTTGCCCTGTTCTTCCTTGCACATTTGCTCTCTACTCCCAAAATACCTATCGGTGATTGCCTTTTTGAGGTAAGATGGAAGGCAAAATTCCAGGTGCAACTGTAAAAGCCACAAAACTGATCTTTGAAGCAGCAATAAAAGCTTGTAGCTGGAGTTCACACTGCTTCCAAGGTTTCTAAAGAACTCTGCATAGTTTGAAGTAGATAGACTATATGATAATGTGGCTATAAGTCACGTTCATTTAGAAAGCAGAACATACTGCTAAAGGCATTCTTAGACTGGCTTAATTGCATCTCTACTCAGAACTGTATTGATTTAAAAAAAAAACCAAACACAAAAACAACAACAACAAAACAAAGACCTCGTGCTGGCATCACTTCAGAACAAATCCCCCCTCTGTAAAAGTACAGCCTACCTGGCAGCTCATTGACTGAAAAGATTGTCCTATACTGAAAGATCACTGGATGCCAGCAGAGATCTCAAAGCTGCCAAGCCCCCTGCTACCACTTCTCTCCACACTGTTGTTCTAATCTCAGGGCACCAGGTGCAGTGTGAGCATCAGTTTGAGCTTTCTGACTCCACCTACTACTGAATTTCCTGACCTTTAATATTTGCCTTTACAACAGAGGAGTGGGTAGTTTGTAAAATAATGCTAGAATTCATAATATATACTACCATTAATAAAAATGCCACACACATGTATCCAGTAAACACAAAAAGAGACCATCAAATGAGTCCCTAACATACTTATACAAAAATCAAGTGATATACATACAAAAATCAAGATTGCCTTATCATCTGAATTAAAATTCCAATGAAATAAGTGGCACTACTCCAAACTCATCATAGCTTACCAGATAAGCAGATGGTTGCACAACACAACACAGGATGAGGAATTTACTGAAGATGTATATTGTTCTCAAAGAAAAACTTGAAGAAAGTACAAAATATTATAAAATGCTTTTTCTTTTAAAGTAGTTTTTGCTTTTATAGCTAATCTGGCAGAAAAAAAGTGGATGAAGTAATGTGATAGGGCAGTTATATCTTTTATCATACCAGAAAAATTATTCTTGTCTCTTACGCTCTTCCTAGAAAACTCAAGAGAGGCAATCCAATTATAACAGCCAGCATAACATGAGATTAGTTAAAATTTCAAAATAGTGTTGAAATTGTTGAAAGTGCTTAGATTTTTATTCGACAGTTCTTTCACTGAAAATCAAACATGTTATTCAAAGAACGAGTCTTTTTTTTTCTTTTTTTAAAGAGATTAATCATCCTTGTTTCTCATTTAAAGTCTGGGGCCATAGCCAATCTTTTCTCTGTGTTCTCAGAGAGAGATATTTCATTTCAAAAAGAAAAAACAAAATTGTTCTCATCTCTTTTATATGTTGTCATGGTAGACAAACCATCACAAGAAAAAAATTCCTGTTTCACACTTCTTTGGGTCACTTTTCAGCAATAACACCAATGCTAAAATTTTTCTGGGGTTAATACAGAATCTGATCTTTTGATGCTGTATCTGTGGAAAATGTTACCTGAAAAAATGTTTTTATTATGGTATTTAGGGAGAGAGAAGAAATGGAAAAGAAATTGTAATCAAATGAGAAAAAATTAAAACTATTTTATTACTCCTGCATTTTAGGATTTCCTTTGCAGTGTAACAACTCTGTTTAAACTCGTTGAAAATTTGGAAGCCTAGCAAATGCAGGAATTTGCTAGTAAAGTGTCTATCAAATCTCCAATGTTCCAGAACTCCAAATTTAATAATTTCCTTCAATAGCCTATGTAGTTACAAGTATTTTTGCCAATCTGACTGATTTAGTACTAGCCTGAGAACCTCCCTTCAGGCCTCACTTTGAGCTCATGATTAGTTGATGCTAGCAGCAATAAGTGTTCTCCATGGATTCATTAAATACAACATTTTACACATTTCAACTTTACATTTCATTGGTATTGTATCTTCTCTTACATAAACCAATTGAATTTACAAGACTATTTTCCCAATTAAGGGACTTGAGAGGGAAAAAAAAAGAAGTAAAAATTTTCTCATTAGATACAAAGAATTCTGTGAATTCGGCATGGATTTACTTCTTTTTACAAGGCTGCCTGACACATTTCGTTTGTCTGTAGAAACAATGTAGGAATATAGGTTCAGAAAACAGATGTATTTTCTATGCATTATTGTTATGTATTTGTAAAAGCCATGGAGAGATTATTCTTGCTGGACATTTGTACTGTGCCCTGTTCAAAGCAGTGCTGATCAATGACCAGCGGCCCCAACCCACAGGTATTTGTATTGGTTCTGTTTCCTTGTCTGCAGAAGAAACTCTCATCAAGAAAATGGTAGGAGGATTTGCTTGGTAGCCAAGTTCTTTTTTCTAACCTTAAGAACAGGTAGATGGCTAGGATGATGAGAAGTGAAAATTTTCCTCAGGAAACCTAACTAAATCAAATGTTGCCTACAACCTAAGATACCGAAGATACTACCATGGCAAGAACTTCTATCTTAAATGTAGTTTGCAACAATTACATTCACATGTGCTATGCACATATGCTGCAAAGTGCACCACCAAAACATTCTATTTAACAGAGGCTACACTTAGGTTCTAGAAAGAATTTTGTAGGCTCCTTGACAGGAAAGAGACAATAATCCAATAGCTTCATCTCTTTGAACTGTGTAACTAGGGATTTGGGGAAAGTACTTGATAGAGCTGAAAAATAAAGGACTAAGACTGCAAGTTAAAAATACATTTACTGACAGCACTTCTCTCCAGCTAATGACTTTTCCCAAAATATTATAAATTAACAGTACCTTTGTGCAAGTACTGCTCAGAAAAGATTCTCAAAAAAATAAGTCTATGGTCTTATATCACAAATCTGCTGCTTCTTTTTTTTTGTCTTGCAGCTGTGCCTTGAAACCAGAGCTTGCAATAAGGAATAGATAGCTGTAAGGAGGGAGAGGAAACTAAGCACCAGCCCTGTGTGCACCTACAGCTCATTCACACAGAGGAGCAAAGACCCGGCCAAAACAGCTCCATTTGTCGCCACATGGCACTGCTAGTGCCAGCTCCTGATGACATGTCAGGCCACTTCCTTAGCCTGCTTTGCATACTGGGAATGGGCAAAGCTGTCACAGGACAATTGCACCAGCCATCCTATCAAATAGCTCCTGTCACTTCAAGCATGCAGCTGGCCTCTCTGTAGCAGGCCCAGGGCCTGCAAGGCCTCCTTGGCGGTCAGAAGCCTGAGCTAGGAAATGCCGAGTCATGATGACTGGGCCTCAGCAGCCCCTCTCTGCCGCCTTTGGGACCCTGCTTATCTCTCTGTAAGCCTATAGGTCACCTTCCCTTGACCCAAATTATTGGACAACTTCCAAAACCCCTGTAGGGTACAAAAACACCTAATTCTGCCTGGTTTAGCGGAAGAGCTGTCACTGAGAACCTTCATGGAAGACGCCAATAAAGAATTCTTCGGAACCTCACACAGCACTTCTCCTCTCTCTCCTGGCGTCTGCTGTGGCACCAGCAAGCTAAAGAGCTGAAATCACAGAGCTGATAATCACTAAGAGCTGATATCACTTGAGCTTGCTTAGGTTGCCTGTGGCTAGCAGCTGCTTGGGAACTGGGATGCTGTGCTGAGCCTCCCTGAGCTATGCTGGCCAAGGCAGCCCACCGGGCACAGCCCGGCTGGAAGCCGCCCAGTAAATGTCTCTCCTGTCTCTGGCTCGGACAATCACTGAGCACTCACACATCGTGGTGAGCACAGTGTCCCCCTCCAGCTTCCGGCAGATGAGAGTGGAGCAGCAGAATGGGACTTCCTTTCAATTGAAATTCCTGTGGAATTTCCACTTTCCTAAAAGAAAATACTTCCATAGCCAGTACGCAATTTGATATAAGGCCCATAATAAAAGGACCCAGCAAGGATTTTTTTTCCCTAGAATTTTTCTCCTTGTTTTAAAAAAAGTCATATGCATTAAACAAGTAACATAGCAAAAACCAGGAAGCTACATGTATACACAAGTACATATTTCTAATGTAACACATGTATTCTGTCTGCACTCGACTTTAATAATTTTAGCAAGTATTACATTAAACTTTGACTAGCAATATTGAAGCTCAGCAACAGCTATTGAACTGCCAGCTCACTTTGGCATCTAGGGGCATGGATAGGAAATTATTCAGGAACACAAGATCAACCTCAGCTGACCAAGACAGCCATCATATCTCTTACTCCCATAAAACATGCCTGGCTTTGCCAAGCCTGTCCTCTACCTATAAAACATCAGAAAAATCCCTAAAGAAAGGAGAGCTACCAGCACCCTGTGGAGACTTGCAGTTAGTTTTCTCCCACTCTGGATAAGCACAAAACCAACTAATTAACTCCTGAGGTCTATTCCCACTAGTGCAGGAAGATGCTGTACAAGTGAATC